CAGAGCTCTCTGCGTTATCCGATTGATATTCTGGGTAGACATCCGACTTGTTTGACAAGTTTCCAAAATATAGGTCATTCACTCGATTTATTTCGTTTACAAATTCTTCATCTTCGTTTTCTACTATTTCTGGGGGGATTGTACTTGCATTAGAAACTGCACTTGACTGGCTTAGCTGGCTGTAGTTTTCCATTCCGGTGATTCTAATAAGTTTCAAATCTCCCTCATTGAAAAGGACGCCATGATTGTTTACACCACCAACTCGGACACTAAAGAAGAGTTAGTCTTACGGGGAATAACTCTAACTCTAAATATACTCAATTTTTTTCTCTCGAAAAACTTTCAATAATATAAATCAAAATAAGATCGATTTTCTTATTATTTTTGTTAATATAAAAAAGTCATAAAACATTACCCAATCTAAATTCATCCTGCAATTATTTTAACAAGTGTGCGAAATTCACGTTTTTTTGTAACGTTGATTGTGACGTTTTTTTCATTATTACGTTTTGCCGCATTTGGGCCAAAAATCTCATGGCGAGTCACATATCATTCATTAAACGTACTTTAAAATGACATTGTTTGCTTCAAGAGACTTTTTTTCATGTCAATTAAATCAGATGTCTCTGGTTGACCTTTTTTTGTATATTTCTACCATACAAGTTTGAAATTAGTCATTCATGGAGGAAAATTCATTTATTGGACCTCAATTCAGGATTATCGAAAACTAAGGAAACAAAATAATAAACACCAATGCCGCAGGAGACTCAATCCCCGGTCATCCACTCTGAGTCTCTCCCAATTACAATCAATAAACTAAACATGGAATTACTTCAGGCCTTTACTAAATATACATCGTGTTCCCGAAAAACTGAAGAAACTTAACATTTTGACTTACATTTACAACTACAGTACAAGGAACTGCTTTCTATTCTAACAATTTTTTTTCAACCATCTCAATTAGGAAACTGTAAACTGCAGACTAATTTAAAAGCTAGCAGGGAATGGACAATATATTTCCGGTAAACTTCGGCTATTATTACTGTCGGAACGGTGAATGCTTTGGAAGCGATTCCCCCTTTTTATGTGCCCGCATCGAAAGATCCGAGGCGTTTATTGTTTTTGTCCTGTCTGTCTGTCTGTTTATCTGTTTGTCTCTTTGTCTGCAAACTTTAACCTTCGCTATAACTTTTGAACAATGAATGGTTGAGACTTCATATTTGGTATATTTTTGAACATTCACCATAACTTTTGAACAATGAAAGATAGAGTCTTTATATTTTATATGCATACTCCACTAATTACGTTCTTTTAAATGAAACCAAGATCAATGACCTTGAAACCTTGACTGTGACCTATATGCTAAAAATACCTTTTTAATCTCTGTTGCCGCCGGGCGCATAGTGCTTCACTAACACATCTTGTTTATATTAAAAAAAATTAAGAGAGCACATAGTTAAGACAAAAAAAAAAAAAAAAAAAAAATCATTATTACTATATATCGTTTATTGCTAGTGCTGCTAGATTTTGAATGAATTTCCTCTGCAAGTATAATAAGAATAAAATTTCAAATGAGTAGCAAAAAGATATACTTAAAAAACTCTTAGTGTAATATTATTGTTCTTAGGCGTCGGAACCGGGGGGGGGGGGGGCTTAGCCCCCCCCATTTTGTTTGCAAGTATATACGTAATAGGCATTGAAAATTGGGGTTGACCTTCTTTGTTGGTTTTGTTATGTTGTACATGTAAATTTTGAATTTACCGGATGACATAAATTCAAAATTTACAACATGACAGTTTAGCCCCTCCCCCACTTTCGATTAGCCCCCTTTCAATTTGATTCCGAGGAATATGCTGTTTATCATAAGTTTGTTTCCTAAGTTTATCAAATTTAGTTTGTATATTTGTATGTTCATTATTTCCAAACTCATAATCTATTCTCAACTATTTCTATGCTGAAAAAAAAAAATCGGAAAACGTAGGAAATTCTTCTTGAAAAAGGCAAGTTCTCTTAATATCATCGAAGTTTTTTTTTAATCTATATTTTTCCCTCTAGTGAAGAGCTTTTTATAAGAAGTTCCAATTTTTTTGACAATCTTTGCTAGAATAACATCGTTCTGTATGTAGAAATAATTTATTTGTTTCGCATACAAAACGCTATATAATATTGTAAATGTATCATACTATGTACAGTAGAGGGTTGCATGTTAAATCATGTTTATTTATGTTGAAAAAATACTCTTAAAAGGGATTTAAATTGTATCCACTTCAATGAATTTATCAAATATAATATATAGCTGCATTCTCGTCAACATAATACATGAAATGGGAAATAATTGTGTCTCTCCACGACTTCCCTTATTAACGGAAATGGACAGTTCTAATTTCGGTTCATCGTATGGAATATATTGAAAAAAAGAATAATGGATAAAAACAACTCGTAAGTTTTTTCTTCTCTACATACGCTTGCATGATCTCGTCTTTGAATGTCTAAAATGATACTGAGTTTTCGTTACACAACAGGTCGACGGAGTGTGATCCCAATTATTTCAGGATCGGGGAAACGATGACATGTGAACGTAAGTTATTAGGATAACATGCGCGTATAATAAAAGCTAACATAATATGAATATTAGTCTGTAATTTGTAATTCATAGAATATGATAATATATGGATTTTTTTAAATTCACACAACATACAGCATTATATACATATATCAGATTTCAAAAGAACTGATGTGTGTATTTATCTTGTTGAAGATGTTCAAAGAATTCATGTATTTTCACTATATAATCATTAGAGCCCCGCCCTAACACCCAAATCTCTGACCCTGGGGCCTTGAAATTCAAAATTTTGGAAAAGAAAGCCTTCCTTATTATAACTTTTTACGTAGTTCAGTGGTTCAATACCCAGAAGCAGAGAAGATTTTTAAAGATTCAATGTTTTTTCACAATGTAATCAATAGAGCACCACCCTAACACTAAAATCCCCGACCCTGGGGCCATGAAATTTATAGACGTCGCGCACGGTGTTGGTGTCAAAAAGTAAAAATTACTATTGCGGCGGCATTTGCGCTATTTTCATAATTTTAAAACAATTCACCATATGAAAATATATATCATTCGGTCAGTAATTGTATACTTAATACATTTTAACAAAAGTATTGATAAAAAAAATCCATTTATCCAATATATAAATTCGTTTATTCAGTCAATTACGTTAAAAACGCATGTAGACCGGAAACAGGAGCGTCGCACATGCAATAATTAAATGTTGATAACTTCCATAAAACAAACAATACAAACATTAAATTTAGCAGAAAAATTCAAAATATGATGTAAATGATGTAAAATCTAACAATTGTGATGTCATTCAATCCGTATGCTCTAAACGCGTTGCTCAAAATCCGTAAATCGACGAAATATGGGATACACATAAAAAGTCGTCGGTTACTTAGAAAAATAATTTCATGAGCTTAATCAATTTTGAAATTGCATCTCAATGATCCTTTTTGTGTGCAAGGAAGTATATTTTAAATTAGACTGATCTTTTATGTGGATATGTATTTTGGGTTTCTGCTATTAAGCCGATTTATTTTGAGTATATTGAATAAGATGGTGTGTCACAAAGTTTGGAGGTTCAATGTTACAAAGTTTTAAGATTTGTAAAATGGCCAATTTTGTAATGCTGGGTGAAAAATTCATGTTGAAAATTATTTTAAATTCTACAAAATGTTGCCTTGCTATTAAGGAAAAGATCTCTAGACAGAATTTTGACTTGCGGTGTCTGAAATTTTGATAATGAATGCCATGTCACATATCCCTCTGAAACAAACACTTCTTTATAGAATCAATTCATTTTCATGTCTAAGTAAAGTTTTGATTTTGCACATTTTGTATTCAATGTTGTTTGGTAGCAAATTAGAAAAATGAATTCTTAAAAATGAAAGTAATTCATGGAGTGTAGAATTTAAATGTGACGTTTTTGCCGTAAAATTCAATTGTGACATATAGCTATATGTAGTATATGTTTTTACAAAGTCAACAATGAATGTCACACATTGTCCAAAAGTAATAAATGTATAAATGTTGTGACATAAATCGTATGAGTAGTCATTAAAAATAGAGATATTGAAAATTAGAGGATTTTTATGAAATGTGCAGCTCTTCAAAAAGTTATTGGTATATTCCAAAATAATTTCAATGGAAAGGTGTTAAAATCCTAACAAAAAATCAATGTCGACATGTTATGTCACAGACGTAAAAATATGGCGTTTTGGTGTACGTTATTACGTTCTCAATGCATAAAATGTAATCTAAAACGTCAAAAGATTTTTTTTCTCCTAAATTCTACTCTTATTGCTAATGAGCCTGATATGGGTAATAAAAGAAAACTATACCAATAATGATTAATTTTAAGAATAATTTTAAGTGTTGAAAGTTGTATTTATATATAAAAGCAAAACATGTACAGTGACTAGTTCACTGTATCAGTCTATAGCCTTGTCAAAAATCTGTACAATAGTACCATTCAGAGTTCGAATTAAGACACCAGAAAAAAATCAATCAAACCAAAATTTATGTAAGGGTGTGTTTTCAAATTTGAATTACCTGACAGTAGAGTGTGTCAACTCTATTTGATGCTGGTGTAAACTGTTCTGCATGTACATGGCAAGTTTACATTGAATAGTCTTGGAATATTGAATAAGGGCTGGGGGTGTTGGAAGTTGTGATTTAGATAAAGCATCTGGTTTTCACTACATAATTTGAAAATTAATTCTTTTTGTCATTAACCAGGTAGCATCGTATGAAATAAAACAAAGTTGTATTTTATCATGTTAAAAAAATATAGGTGTTTAAATTACATTCAAAATTGATGACATTTGGAAACAGGTTATAGCGAGATCAAGTTTATTGCATTATTTCTTTCAATAAAAATATTTTTCATTAATATATTTGGTTTAAAGCTAGTGACGCAAAATCGTTTTTGAAAGAAGTTGTGGGGGGGGGGGGGGGGCAACCGGAGAAAAAAATTACTTACCAGAAAAAAGTTGTCAAGCTAAAAAAAGGAAAATTTGTTTGCCAAATCCTATTTCCTAGGGGGGGGGATTGGGGGGCCAACCAGCCTTTCAATGAACATTTCAATAGTAAAAGTTATGTTTAAAAAATTGGGAGGACGCCCCCCCCCCCACCTTGCCTGTAAGCAATGTCCTTCCTTTTTCATAATTTATTTAGGAATGTTTCATTTAAAAAAAATTATATGCTTGTAAACTCATTCAAACCGACCAAAATGGTACTAAGTAACCATTCATTTAATCAAAATCTAGTTTATCTCCATATCCTTTAGGGAAAGGATAATGTCTCTATACAATCTCCTTAATCTGATTAAAATCTGACCCCTCCTCAACACCCCTGATTCCTTAACATCAACATCAATTAATTATTTGAATCTGAATCTTGATGAAAGCATACACGAAACGCTCTTTGAATCACTCTTTACTTCCATTTATAAGTATGAAAAAGGCGTACAATCACATAAAGCAGGTAAACTGCATAGATATCCAAAGGAGTATGAAACCTACGCATATAAATGGGGGGGGGGGGGTGGAGAGGAGAAAACTGAAATATTTTTCGAATAAATACCACTGAAACCTCTAAACTGCACTTCATCGAAAATTCTTTACATGGACAAGTTATAAAGTGAGGGAGAGGGAGGGGTCAATTCTAAGATTCGATTCCTCTCCGTTTTTAAAATTAAATTATTTGAAATATTTAGATCTACTGTTAGATACAGGTACTCAGTATGTAAGACTCTGAGTGATGGTGGAGGTTAAAGATGGGATGGGAATATGGACTTTGAACGAAAAAAATATATCAATGTTAAATCAGCAACATATCTACAATCGTACGATTTACTGAACACTAAGGACAGGTTTTAGCTCCTACTGATATGATTGTTTTGGAATTGTTTTGAATTTATCTCAATTAAATAAAAAAGCATGTAAATTTAAAATGCGATGTCGAACAAGTTTTATTATTTCTACCAAGCTTTTTATTAAATGAAGCAAATTATGCCTATATTTCCTAGCTTCCGCAATATGCTTGCAAAAGGGCAGAGAATTTAATTACATGCATGTGTTTTCAATGAACTGCTTTATATAATTAGCGGCATTACTGGGTTTTTATTTTTTCCTTCATAAATAAATGTTAGCAAAAAAAAAAATACCGAAAATGACACCAACACCGTGCGCAACGTCATAATTTTGGAAGAGGCAGACTTATTCAACACGACTATGTAAAGTGTACTTGGTTACCCCCCGTTCACACATAGACGCCGCTTCTACTACGATCAAAGTGTGTCAAAAGCGTGGCCGATTGTGACAAATCGCAGGAGGAACGTCGTGGGCTCGTCAGAAGCTTAGTATGATCGCAGTAGAGTCTTCATGATCGGAGAGCTCTACGCTCTCACCACGCTTATTTTGAACATGTTCAAAACAAGCGTAGCGGGATCGTGGCCAACAAGAATCGGGGTGAAGTCGTAAAAAGAGCTTAGTAGAAGCCCCATAATCGTACAAGAAGCGCGGAAGCTTCGTAGAGAGATCTTCATGATCGTAGTAAAGGCGCCGTGAGAGCGTAGGAACTTACCAAGCACGCTCATACAACGCTCCCTCTACGTTCGTACTACGTTCTCACTACGATCTCTCTATGTTCCTTAAGATCCTACAAAGACCTTCGATGACCTTACGCCGATCATATCACGACCTATCAGAGAAGAGTTTGTTCTTATACCGCTGATATTTGACCAATCATCATCTGTTAACTACATGTAAAGGGTGACACTATACTTGACGATCATTTACAATTGAGCATTTCCACATCTTATTACAGTTATAATAATTGAAAATGCCCTAAACAGTGTGGTAAAGGCCGGAAAAAAATGCGGTCGCAAAATGTTATAATCGCTAAAATTCTACTACAAAAATCTGCAGTTTCAAGATATATTTACAACAACACCAAAATCGTAGTAGAAGCGTTATGCAATCGTAATATGATCAGCACCACCGCAGCGACATCGCGGTACAGTCATCTAGGTCTGTGTAGCGTCGTAGTATGGTCTTCAATGTCGTAGTGGCAGCGTAGCGTAAACGCACTAAACACGGCCGCTTGTCGGCAACGGTCTGCGTAACATCGTAGTAGAAGCGTGTTAGAAGCGCGTTTGACGTAGGGACATCGTAGTACGGTCGTAACGAGGACCAAAATTAGCCGAATTGCTCTATTCAGACGCCGATCGGCTGCGATCTGCCCCGATCCAAAAAAATTTTAGATCGTGGCTTGGTCGGGATGATAACCGTAGAGTCGCAGCCCTGTGTGAACGGGGGGTTAGTTTATTTAATACTCAGGAGCAGAAAAAAAGATTTTTAAAGAATTAATGTATTTTAAATATATAATCAATAGAGCTCCGCCCTAACACCAGAACCCCTGACCCTGGGGCCATGAAATTCACAATTTTGGAAAAGGTAGCCTATATGTACTTGGTTAGTTTATGTAATGCCGAGGAGCAGAGAAGATTTTCAAAAAAAAAAAAAATACATTTTCACTAGTATATAATTATTAGAGCCCCGCCCTATTACCGGAAACCCTGACCCCGGGGCCATGAAATTCACAATTTTGAAAAAGGTAGCAATATTCAACATAACTATGTATTTGGTTTGTTTATTAAATACCCGAGAGCAGAGAAAATTTTTAAAGAAATCATGCATTTTCACTATATAATCTATATGGCCCCGCCTTAACACCTAAGAACCCCTGACCCTGGGGCCATGAATTTCACAATTTTGGTAGAGGCCACCTTAGTTATAAGAACTATGTACTTGGTTAGTTTATTAAATGACCAGGAGCAGAGAAGAAGATTTTTAAAGAAATAATGCATTTTCACTATATAATATACATGGCCCCGACCTAACACTAGAACTCCTGACCCCGTGGCCATGAATTTCACTTTTTAGGTAGAGGACTAAATGTTGATTACAATCATGCAAACAGTTTGACTGCTTGATGTCCAGGAGTTAAGAAGAATTTTATAAAGATTGCAATAATTTTAGAGGCTTTGGCCCCACCTGTCAGGCCCCAGAGGGACAGGATCATGAAATTCACAATTTTTGTTCCCATTAACTCATAGATACTTTATGCCAAAACTGTTTGAAATTGGTTGAGTGGTTGCAGAGAGGCTGAAAAATAGAAAACACAGGAGGAAAATATGTTAAAGCACTCTTTTGTAATAGCTACTACTTGTATTGATTTTCCACTTTTTTCATCCCCGTAAGCGAAGATTCGTGGGTACATGTGTATAGATTTTACCCTGTCAGTTTGTCTTTTCTTCCGCAAATCTTTAATTTTGCTCAAAACTTTGAGTAGGTAGGGATATGGGTTTCATATTTTACAGGTGCATTCCTTGTGACAAGACCACCAAATTTGATCACTTGACCTTGGAGTTTGACCACTTTTACAAAAAAATTACAAAACCTAATCCTTGGCCATATTGTTAGAACAGTTGGTACTAGAGAAACATTACATATATCCCTCTTTATAAGCTGCCAGGGGGCAACAGTGTTTCACAAAAACGTCTTGTTTAAAATTTTAAATTGAACAGCCTGTGGCCCCGGAGAGTACGGATATAATTGTTCTATACAGTGTCCAAATAATACCTATGGTTATCTTTGCTATGGGACATGTAACTGCAGTCCTGACGAATTTTGTGATCGACGATTTGGATGCAACAGTTCCATTTTCACTACAGGTAAATCTCCGCTCTCTACTCTTTTCCTTATAATTGTATCAACTGACACATATGAGGTTGCTTCTCTTTACACAAATGATCATTACTCTTACTTTATATTTTAGCTGATTCTGAGAGAATGGTGGGTGTTGATACAAACTATTTCCTGGAGAAGTTATCGATGTTTTTATTGGTTTCCTTGGCGTCAGTGGTCATCTTCAGTTTTCTCTGTTCCATTTTTCTCATAAAGTAAATAAAAATAAATATACAGCGATAACTTGTAAACCACAAATATCAATTAAACAAATACGCTCTATAATTTTTTATTATTTCAGAATAAGTAAAAGGCATTACAAGCGAGAATTGCGTAAGTACTCGTAATATTGAATTACATGTACAATCACTGAGTATCTGAAGTTGACATTAAAAGAGAGACCTCATTGAATATGAATTATCTATATACTTTTTGAAGAGAAAGTACCGGTATTTCAATGATTTGTTGGAATTCCGATGGATACTTAATGTTTCCAATAAGAGACCAACCCATTTTTATATTCATATGAAGCAAAGTTTAAAAGTATAAATTTAACATGACCAAAACACTCTAGCTCTGACTCCTCTTTCGACATTTATAAATGAAATGAATTTTTTTTTTATAAATGCAAAATTTATTTTTAGTTCAAATTTCGACCCGATAAATCCGAAAAAGTGAACTGGAAATGAGGCACCACAAAGTTTGCCATAATTGTTTCAATATATTAAAGTTATGAGACCTTAAGGCGTTAAAGGTCAACAATTAATTAAAAGTAAACTTAATGACAAACGTAAAGACCAACATCCCCTGATTATTATTAATATTTAGATGTCGCCTGTATATGGTGTTTATAAATGCATCTTGTAATGCAAGCTTACAGAATAATCTTCGTGGATGTAACTAGCTTCAGAACTGTAGCGTTATGGTTTTATATACCAGTCTTTGATTTTGTAGATAAAATTTCATTGATATTCTCTACGGACTTTTCTGGTGGAGACAGAGATCAAGAGTCATTTATTGATTTTTTAGTGCATAATTACTTATGATGTCTGATGAAATTTATTTTTAGAACGAATGATAAGTAATGTATCGGAAGAGAGATCTGATCCTGTACACGAATACTTTGGTTATGACACCATGGACTCCATGTCTGCCATTCCTCGACTCCCAGCTGCCAACACTTACGATCACACCGACAGAGGGGAATACAACATTTTATCGCTATCACAGAGGGCATATATTGGTGACGTTGATACCTCTCCTGTGACGTCATTTCACAGACAGAATTCAAAAACAGAGATGAATGATAATAAAAGCTTAGAAATCGATATTGAACCAGAATGTTTGATAAATCTATTTCAAGAAGAAAATGACGATTTATTGAACGATGGAAATGAATCAGAAACAATATTCAAACTATATTCTAAGTAGGATATAAAAGTTATTATAAAGATTACAAGCATATTTTTGAGGATGATCAAAATCTTTATAATGTAATTCCGCTGATGTTTTGGTGAAATTAGAAATGGATGAAAATTTAACCACTTTGCCTTTCCTCTCTTTTATGGCCGTCGTTATACAGTTTGTAACAGCATGATTACATCTTCCTTGTTCCCAATTCATAATTAATTTTGGTTATTAATAACCAAACACACTTATATAGCACATCCTGGCAATAATAATTAACGTTTAATATTTGTATATCAAGTTTAATTTCCATGTTATCCTGGAAGGCCAGTTTGTTTCATGTTTTTCAACAAAGTCATTTAAATTCGGCATTTTAATTGTAAAATCTATGCTCGTTATAATGACCTTGATAGCAAATTATCGAGTCGTATTTTGCCTGACCTATTTCAGACCAATTGTTAACCTTTGTTTTTATATAATACTGCAGTTGACTACGGAATGTTCAAACCACCTAACTGATCAATTCATAGGGCCCACAACGGGTGTGACAGGTCAACAGGGGATGCTTACTTCTCCTGGCACCTGGTTCCACCTCTGCAATTTTCAGGGCTCCGTATTTAATGCCATATTTCCATATTTGTATTGTTTATTGATTTTGTAAGACCAATCATTGTTCATCTTTTAAATTTGAATCCATATTACAATTTGTTTTTTAGTATATTATTACCATTTATATGAATACTATATGTCTTAAAAAGAATTTTTAAATGAAAACGATAGAAATGGATATCACGTATCTTGCAAATTAAATTAAAATAATTGTCCGTACATTACATCCTCTTTCCTGTTCATGTTCTTCATCACCCTACAAATATAGCCGTGACAGGTTATTACTGGCGACGTAAATAAAGTTGATAATGAAGACATTAAATAATTGATTTTAAAAGAACAGAAATTTTGGGTACCCCGATATTTTAACTGGCGTCATAATTTTATTTATGGAAGGATTGTGTTGAATATCACGCCACCCAATGGGCAAAATATCAAAAAGAAGACATTGACACGTTGTCAGAATGTATAAAATGTATCAGATGAATGTTAAAATATCACATTAGGAAATTGAGGAGCAAAATTGAAACAAACTACCATTCTGTGTTCAATTATTCAGAAATGGAAAAAAACTAGATAGATTACTTGGTCAGTATGTACTGGTCTTACTGACAAAGCAAGTAACAACACTGTGTTTGTAAGGCTCATTATTTAAATTGTAAATGTATATGTCTTTTAGAGGAACTGAGATTTTATTCCACTAGTGGTAATGCAACTTATTCTCACAGATCCTTTTGTGAGGATGAAATTCTTCAAATCATGTCGGTTTTGAATATTCTTAATATTCTTACCAATCAGAATGAATTTGAATTGCCATATCTTTATTGAATTCCAAAACGTCATAAAAATCCTTACAAGAAGGATAGAGATAACGAACAGTATTCAATCTCAAAGTCCATAAAACAATACAAAATAGGAGCAGAGCAAATACGGACCTCCGAAACATCAGAGGTGGGATCAGGTGCCATTGAGGAATGAGCATCCCTGCTGACCGGTCACACCCGCCGTGTGCTCCTTGCCATGATCGAGAAATAAGGGAAAAATCCGTCGTCAATTCAGCATATAAATAATGGACTAACGAATAGTATGAAAAACGTTAGTCAGAATTTGACTCAATGATAAAGTGTATTTGCTGACAAGGTGTTTGTTTCGACCATAGAACTTACGAAATGATGACGTTAGACGAGACCGCTGATATTCTTCTTTCATCAACTTGCTTGTCAATAATTTACATCGTTTTAGAAATTGTTCATGCGTAGATAATGCTCTTGCGTATCAAATCAACTGAGATAAATACACACCGTATGCAGGTGATGAAGGTATATTGCTGCATAAGTAAGGGAAGTTTCTCACAAAGATATTAACAGAAGTGAAGGGGAAACTTCAAGAGTACTGTGCAAGAATATATTCGAGAAGTGGTGTAAATCAGATGTGGATACTGAAAAATTCCAAGGAACTTTTGGAAAAATTTGAAATCACAAAATTTTACCAAAATCAACAGCATAAAAAATTACACTTTTTCAACTTTATTTAAAACCAGTCCCAATGGTGAATTTGAGTCTAAGCTTTTTGATAGCATTAATTTTACAGGTGCCTTTTCAATAAAAATGGAACTCGTAAATTTACTCATCTTGTCAATGGTTATTTGCAAAATAATTTTGTTGAAAAAAAAAATTGATTGTACACAAGTACTCTGAGGTTGATATTTATAAGATGCTTGTGTTTCTGATTGACAATATCTATGTGGTTTTAGGAGACAAAATCTTCCAACAATTCATTGGATTTCTCATGGGTACCAATTGCACCTGTTAATAGCAGACCTATTTTTGTATTCATATGAAGCAGAATTTGTCCAAAACCTTATACATACTTGAAAAGAAGAAAACGCACTTGCCGAGGCCTTCAACTCAACATTAAGATACTAGTATATCGACTACGTATTGTCAATAAACAATCGTTACTTCCATTCTTATGCCGATACGATACATCTGTTTCATATTTAGATATTTTACATGGAAGGGACGTTGTTGGTAATTTAATAACCAAGCTTTATGATATGCATAATGACTTAAAATCGTCAACTTCCCTTACTAAGGCAAAAATAAACCATTATCTCCGTCGATTCGATACGCAAGAGCATGCTCCTACTAAATTTAAAACGAGGCGAATTATTGACGAACAAGTTGCTAAAAAAAAAAAAAAAAAAAAGAATATATATATATATATATATATAGACCGGACGCATTTCATAGCGGTCCGGATTCTTTCTTTAATAGTGTTCTTAAAAATTTCCAAAACAACATGTAACTTAGTATGTAAATATATAGTGTTTAGTAGTTTAGTAGTAGTGCTAGTTGTTTTTTGTTTCGCTTTTTGCTTTTGTTCTTATGACTTTTTACCTCTTTTCTTTGTCCTGAGGAAGGGACAGGGTGTCCCAAAATTTGACAATTTTTATTGTTCGTGTCGTTGGTCATTTTTAGTGCTTTATATTATATATATATATATATATATATATATATATATATATATATATATATATATATATATATATATATATATATATATATATATATATATATATATATATATATATATATATAAAGCACTAAAAATGACCAACGACACGAACAATAAAAATTGTCAAATATATAAACAGTCTCGTTTAAAGCCATCATTTCTTCGTAACTTCTAAGGTCGATACAATGACGTAGACCTTGTTAGCTGACTGACGTTTTCCATACTAACAGTTTGTCCATTATACACATATTGAATTGTCGAGGGATTTTCCCCTTATTTCACGATCATGTGAAGGAGCAGACGGTGGATGTGACCGGTCGGCAGGGGATGCTTACTTTTCCATGGCACCTGATCCCACCTCTGATGTTTTGAAAGTCCGTGTTTGCTCTGCTCTAATTTTATATTGTTTAATGTTTAATGGACCTTTGAGCTTCAATACTGTTTTTATCGCGATATATTTCATTGTAGTAAATCCAAGTTAGAACGATCTTTATTCTTGACCTAATTGGAAATATTGACTATTTTCATATTGTAAATTTTTAATTTACCGGTGACAGTAAATACAAAATTTACAACATGACGCTATCCTCTTATCATTTGAAAGCTGTTCGAGAGAATACGCACTGTTCAATTGAGGATAATGAAAAGCTTACGTTCTTTACAAATTTTGCAATCCACATCACATGATTCAGGTATGAGATCTCATAGGGGTGGATGTGGATTGAAAAATTCAACCATTAAAAATTATACGAATTTTTGCAATCTGTCTGATAATTTTTAAACATTCATCGCGCTATCATAAATGTACAGTGGCATATTTCTGCCCCACCCTTGTCAGATAATTATGCTGACAAGTCAGGTCTTTTCGTTAAAGCTGACATGAATTCTTAAAAACGCAACATTTTCATCTATACATGTACGACTTGTTTCATACCAACTATACCCGTATACCGCCATATTTTTTTCAGATACCTTGTCACATTGTAACGATGTATACCCAAATGCGCTCGTTACACTTGAATGGTTTTTGGGCATGGGTATCGACTTGTGCGCATCTCCGATGGTAAAGCATATGAGAACACATGAGGTGATCAAGACATTTCAAAAACAAAATAAACAACATAATAATCATATTTTTGAATGATTATTGATTTGAATCAAAAGAAAAAAATGCAAGTTTGGAAGAGAAATTAAGATGCATGAGTACGTATTTTTACATTGCGCCAATTTATGCAGAATAAACTTGAAATAAAAAGCAGTAAAATTTGCAAACACATTTTGAAATTATATCATTTGAATGGAACAAAACAACCAACGTCTTTGATTTTCAAGTCCTATACAATTGATGCATATCGAGAAAACGCCTCGAACGCTGTAAACGTACCCATACCTGGTAATAAGGTTACCAAGTCAAGTTATATACACCCTGAATTCCATTTATTGAAATATGTATCACAAAAAGAAATAAACTCCATAAAAGCTCAATAGTAAACACACTGTCATTACTCTGTACACTCTAGCACGACGATACACTTAGTCCGTGCTGATCAGATTTTGGTCAGGGAAAATATCAAAAGTGGAAAGAGAAGTTTTTTGGTATTTGCGCGACTGAAAGGGGGGGTATTATGACTGATGTTCATAAGCTATAATTGTGAATTGTTTATGTACATGTAGTTCTAATATACATTCTATACAAAGTCATGCATATAGTCTGCAGTTGGTTTGCGTCGCAAAATTCATTTGTCAATTATAACTGATATTTTTGTACTAATTAATCTCAAATCTAAACCAAGTAATTTGATGTACGGCAATAATTTACTTCAAATCTTAAAAGCAATTAACCAGACTACAAATTCTTATGTGTACATCTATACATTCTTTAACACATACACACGGTGAAAGGCAATCCCCTGTTTTCAGATTGACATTTAGGCATTTGATTTTTTGGACGGGGGGGGGGATACAAAAATAATTGACATGACCGTTTAAATATTCTTGGAAGACAGACATTTCTGCCGAATTCAGTGTTGAGATTTTTTTAAAATGTGTCACTCCGACCATTTTGAGGAATGTAACTGTTTTATAATTATGTTGTTACAGGAAGTATTTCGAGATTTCAGTATCCCTGCCTGAATGTCTATAGGTATTTTTTTATAAGTATAAATAATTTCTGTAGGAGAATTTGGGAGATAATTTTAAAAGCTAGGGTAGGGATACTAGACACTGGTTGAATACGGATAATTATTATTTATTCTTTGGTATATTGTACTCTCTCTCTCTCTCTCTCTCTATCTGTAACCACCCGTTGGGGGCAATGATAGGTATAAAATCCATCGCACTTTGTGCTGTACCATTTATTATGCCTAAGGACAGATCAAGGATTTTTTTCAGGCGGGATGTCGAAACTTCATAAATTGAATAATAATTTTACTTTGGACAGGAAATTAACCCAAACGCCCAAATTTAAAGAGAAACTTGACGTACATGTATTATGAGCAATGACAGGCGCGGATCCAGGAATTGAAGTTAGAGAGGGCGCCAAAAGTAGGCAAGGGGTCTGGGGGCTGCCTTGAGGCCCCCAGTGGGTGCAGGGCAAAGCCCTGGTGGGGGACCAGGGAGCGAAACCCCCGGAAGCTCCTGGGTTCTAGAAATTTTGTAGGGTAAAAATGAGGTCTACCAAGTAGACATATTTACATTTTCTAGACGAAACTGATTTACTTCAACTTTGACAATTTTGGGGGGGGGGGCGCCGGGTGTGCCCCCTTAAATCCGCCACTGAATGAGCTCACTAAATGATACCCCCTGTCTCCCATATGGTTATAATGGCAAAGTCCATATTTCGCTCAACCCATACGTGTCAGATCAAAAAATAAAATAGGAGGTGCATAAAGGTAATATGCAATAAACTTAAGATTCTTTGAAAGTTTCATTAAATTTCTCTAAGTGGTATAAGAGGATTTGTAGATAAGAGATGGGTACCCCAAAGCGTAACAGACAGACGAACGGACATAACGATTACTATGTAACCTACCACTTTTCAGGCGGGGGATATAATAAACGTGAAATATACATCACAGGAATGGGAACATTGGGAACTTTCTCGAATACCTTCTCAATTACGTATGTGTCGAACTTGGACAACAGACAAGAGAATTTTTAGGTAGAATGTGGAATTCTCACGAAGATTTTACTCTCTCTTCCTATATGTTTTTCCTAATAATCATTGATTATTTATGTCTAGAAATTTATTTCACATTAAATTCTATTTTTATTATCATTGTACCAAAGAATCAAACACGTTTATACTCCACGTGTGAGGTATAATGTTTTTTGACCCATCAGTTTTTCTTTTTTTTTTTTGGTCAGCACAACTTCTCATAAACCACTGTACAGAGTTTTGTCGAACTTTGCAGATATTTATAGGAGACAATGTGTGTGTAGATTTGTACATCATCAGGAAATTCCGAATTCTTTATTTTTCGGGAATTTCCGTACTTTTACATTTAGATTTTGGACATTTCTTGAATATAGAGGTGAGCAGTTTGTCAGCGCAACTCCTCATAAACCGCTGCACACGATTTCGTCAAACTTTGCAGATATTTAGGGCACAATGTGTATATCTGTGCATATTACAAGGAAATTACGATTCCTTTATTTTTTTCTGGGAATTTTAGCACTTCGACTTTTGGGGGAGCGTGGGGTATGTGAACGTGCTCACTTTTTCTTTCATAGTGCATAAATATAAATAACTTTAAATCAAATTATATTAGGTCTAATAAAGCCAATACACAGTATTTATTTGATAATAATTGATCATAAAGAAATCCAATCTGTTTCAGACGTTTTTCTTACATTATTTTTATGAGAGTGTTATGCATGTTTTATACCCCCCCTTTCATATCACTGGAAACTATCTTCAAAAGGTCAATGATTCGTAATAATGCCTGCTTTTTTAATGAATTTGATGAAGTTAAACCATGTACTTAATCGTGTTTATACAACATGTTTGTTTAAAAAAATTACTTGCATTTTTTTTCAATCAACCCCACTGAGCTTTCAACCTTTGATATTTTCCCTGACCAAATAAAATGATCGGCATGGGCCACGTGTGTCCAAGCATCTTTTACTGTTGAGTTAGCAATGGATTACATGACTTCTGAGATGCATTTTTCAATAAAAGTAAAATAGGATAATTCTTTCGACATGTGCACATCCCTGTAACAATAGCAGTAGTCAGGTAAATGTTTTTTTATCACTGCGTTTGACGCGTTTTCTCGACCTGCACGGGTGTTTGGTGTACATGTATGTATTCCGTGTTAGTTTATTTTGTATATTGCAGCAATTGCATTCAAAAATAATTTAATTCTCGATTTAGTTCTATTTTTTGTTGAATTTTTACTTTTCAAACATGTATTGGTCAGTTTATGGACTTCTAAAAACTTTGTTATCGGAGATGTGTACATGTCGACAGTCAGGCTAGAAAATCACTCAAGTGAAGCAATCGTACAAGGCTATATAAAGCAGGTACAGGTGACCAAAAATTTTCAATTAAATATGGCGGAATCGAAGAAATATGGCGGACAAAGGCGTACAAGAATGTAGTAAGTCGTACAAAGATGAAAAATGATGGGTTTTTAAGAGTTCATGTCAGCTTTAAGTTCGTCATATATTTGCTTAAATTCAGCATGAACATGTATCCATGATAAGTTCAGGCCAACAGTTGGCAACATATCTTTATGAGAAGTCTATATATGTAGATGACAAGTCAACAAAATATATCTTACAAGTAGATATATTATCACGCAAGTCAACATAATTTTCAGACAAGTCAACATAATGTTCTCAAAGTGAACATCAGTATCTGACAAGTCAACATAACACACTGCAAGACGACCAGTCAGAAAAATATGTTGACTTGTCAGATGTCATAATGAATATACATGAAGATGTCAGTAGGTTTCTTTAACGTGCTGTAGTAAGATTCTGTGTTCCTGGTCGTGATAATTTTTATCTGAAAGTCAACATAATTATTTGACGCATTGACACAAATATCTGAAACGTCAACATATTTACTAAACAAGTCTACTAAAACACATGGCGAGCAGAAAATTGGCATCGTAAGTTTTCTCGGTCACTGTAGTCCATTGATATCTTTCTTTTGTAAAATGCCAGAATCAGATTATGTGATTTCTTTCTTCTCTGTTTTTTTCCTACACTAATTCAGGTTACAAAATGTGAACAAGCTGATCATATTTTAAAAATTTGTATACTTTTATTTCTTTTACCCTTGAGTCTGATTACTGTTCGTTATACATCCCCACAAAAGGGACATTAATCAAGCATAAAGCACACTCTAACAATACACATCGGGATTCAAGCAAACACAGACCTCAAAAACATCAAAAACCTCAAAAACATCAAAGTTGAGATCAGGTGCCGTATAGAGGAGTAAGCATCCACTGTCGACCGGTCTTATGTACTGCTATGTGCTCCTTGTCATGACCAGAACGAAGCCCTTGGGAGCGTGTTTTTCTCTTCGAAACAAAACCTGTCTTCAAATGATATAAGTATTTAAACTGATTATTTTACAATTGTAAAAATTTATTATTCAGTAATATTCTGATGGGATAAAGTATTTGTAAGGTATTCTAAAGTTTTAAAGATAAAAAAAATGATGGCTAAGAAAATATCTCTTATAAAGAATAATGTGTGTGAAGAAATGTCTTGGTTCCATTTTAAAAGTTTTACATGATGGACTCCTATTATGACGTTTTTAACATATCATTTGGAATTTCTCCGTTATAAAGAAAATAAATGTGTTTCTTTAACACACTCGTTTTAATCTTTCACTCATTCAAGAAAAAAAGAAAAAAATTATATTGAGGAAAATGAATACAATAAATAGTTTTATCATAATATTTTTAAGGACACCTTGTATTTTGTCTATTTATTTTTTTGTTATAAATACACAATGCATTATTCTGCTTAGTGTTGTCAGTAAAGAATACGTCGATGGAAAACTGCAATTTCCTTGATATTTAATTCTATTTTTGGACATCATTATATCGTGAAAGGGAAAGGGAAATTCATGAAAAAAAATAATGGCAGTAGTATGGCGTAGAACTTAATGGGATTAAATAAAGTGCATTCACCGTAAATGGAATGAAAAGATAAAACAATTTACCTGAATTAAATGCATAAGTCGTTATAGTTTGAGCTTTCCGTTTTCATTACATCAAATACATGGACGTGTGCATGTGATGGTCTCTTATAAAGACATTATAACCATACTGTTAACAACAGTATGTAACATCGAGGGAGGATGTCATGTTAATAACTGGTACGTCATCATACATTTTTCTGCAATGTGGTTTATTAAATAAATGAATTGTTAATTTCTTAATTAATGTTGTTTTTCATTATTCTTTCCTTAGTATGCTTATTTTAAGCTGTATCATGTTATAAATATAAATGCCAACTTTCCTCATGTAATCATTTGCATCTTTATAAATTTTTACATTTGTTAATCTGCACCAATGAAGTTGATTAGTGGATGATAGAATTTTTAGCTTAAAAAAGTTGCGACGTATTTGTTATATGTTATTTTGGTGTTAATAAATATTCTAAAGGAGATAGTTTGTCATTCAAAACTTTGTTACATGATTTGAAAAAGGAATTTTTTTGCAAGAATGTTTAGAAACATATGCATAAAGCCTACATTTGTAGACATTTTCACTGAGTCCTCAACCAATTCATTATTTCAAGAGAACTGTTAGAATAATTATCCTGCCTAATTTATTAATGTCTACCATATGATCATGTCTCGAGTATTTTATTTCAAATAACTTATTAATAAGTTGATGTTATAGTACTCTCTACAGTTTCAATTTGTAGACATTTGCAAATTTCATATTCGAACTTCGTTATGATTTTTATTCAACCTTTGTTTATTATCGAAGCAGCAATTGTTTCCACTTTACCTTTCAGGCCGGATTCATGTGAGGCTAACTTTAGAAAAGGGCCAGAAAAATGCGAACGTAAGTAATGTATTACAAAAAAAAGAAAATTGAAAGCTGAATATTACGGTAATGTAAATTGTATTATGTTCAACAACAAAAATAATAATTAGTACTTCTTTGAATATCTGAGAAACATGACATGTTTAAATGAGAATAAACAAATAAATGAACAAATTCTTCCTTCAGCGTGTGAGCCTGGTCGATATGGTTGTAACTGTTCTCAAACCTGTACCCCCGGTACCTTTGGTTTGAACTGCTACTTTACGTGTAACTGTTCTGATGATGAAGTCTGTGATCCCAAAGTAGGATGTACCTCCATCAACGAAACCTCAGTATTTACAACAGCCACGCCTTACAACACAGGTTTGTTTGTTATTGTTTACCAAATCATGTATCATTTTAAAAGTTTCATCGGGATGTACATACAAGTTAGTTATGTGATTATATCTCTTAAGGGCTTTCGGGTAAATTTGATAATATGCCAATCCGTATTTACATCCCGATAAAACACATTGCTTATATTTACATTTGTCACCGATTTATTACAAATAGCAAGGCACTAAACTTTTCAACCTTTTAATGATTTATTTTATTCAAAACTCAACGGTATAAATTGAATGTGTTGAACACGTTTATCACTTATGACTTCACAATGATATTACGTAGATGCTTTATAACTTAAAATTCAATTTATGGTCACATAACGAACGTGTTTAAAACACAGGTGTAAAACGCCTTGTTCAAACAGTGAGGAAAACATTTGCAAATAAATATTATTGATTGATGGAAATATATTTTTGGCGATGCATGTTTAAAAATGAATGCAGCTGTCTTATAAAACATATAATTTTTATAAGCAGATCTCAAATTTCTATCCTTTCGTAATGACTATTGTAGTATGATATGAATGCAGTAACATTTTGATTTCATTGAAGTTTGTTGCCTACAAAGATTGATAGCGTCATAATAGCCCCTGACTTAACGTTTTATAGCACGTAATGAAGAAAACAAAGAGGGTGTTGCAGAAACTCGCGCTTTTTCCCTATTTATCGAGAATGACATCTAAATACCCTCGTTATGTCTAAATATAGATACAGCTACGTAGAGGACTATGTTTACGGCGGGTATTTCCTACTTGATACGCCAAAACATTTTCGTCATTTCCCTCCTCTGATGTTTCGGAGGTCCGTGTTTGCTCTGCTCTGATTTTGTATATTGTTTAATGGACTTTGAGATTGAATACTGTTCGTTACACTGTATCTCCATATCCTTCTTTGTACGAAAAGGGTTGGAATAACAAAATGCAGAATGGCTAAAGCAGCATTTTGAAAGATATACTGTAGACATCGCGCGAAAATATTTTTCATGAAATAAAACTGCGTCTCATAATCACACTGTTGATGCTACATCCAAGACATTTCATTTGTTTCAAATCAAATCTTGGCTACTAAGTTAGAGACCAGAATTATTCAAAATTGCAATAATTACAGTATGTAAAAAAATAAATTATTTAAAAAATACAGTAACTTTTTTTCCAAAACAGAACTAAATAAAGTATTAGTTTTAAGTCACAGCATATCAAGGGAAACAATTTAATCCTGCATTTCTGATATATATTTTTTACTTAATTAACTTCTTGACATTCTCTTTCTTTCAAAAAATATATAATTTCACTGCACTACCATTACATATGGAAAAAAATAAGATAAAAAAAATATGCAAAAATGATCCATTCCAGGATTTGAACTCATTCTCTGGTAATAGAACGAGTTGAAAACCCATCAGCATAACCACTAGACCATTTCAGACACGATGGTTTTCCAGTGTTATTTAATGTACACATTTTGCATTTCGTTTGGAGAATAATTTTTATTCAATTTTTGTGGTTTTTTCTCAAAAATGTGCCTCTTTGAAACAAAAATCGGAAATGGCAGTTTTGAAGAAAATTCCTGCCTCTTTGTGTATAAATCAAAATTATTTTGTTTCAAGGAGGCACTTTTTCAGAACAATGGGGATTCCCTATTTAAAAAGCGGAAAATCTGATATATTTTGCCGTGAGACTAATTTCTGCATCATTTAATGGCAAATTTGAAGTCAATACACAGCTTCCAAATATTGTTTTTCTTTGTGCTTTATATATTATTGCATTTGAAAAAAATTAATATGAGTTTCTGCAACATAAAAATTCTTCTTTTAATCTGCTACACATTAGGGAAAATAACAAAAGAACTGCAACACCCTCTTTTATAAAAGTTTAAAAGTCAAATGAAACTACACATTGGGATCAGAGGCTGACAAAAACTTCAGAATTGAAATCAGGTACCACAGACCGGAGGAGCTACCTCATGTCAAGCGATCACACTGATTTGTATGATAATCACCAGTCAAAATTCAACTTATTAAAAGAAATAATTTGCCAACCAGGTCATGGTTTTGACCTAAGAACTTACGAATTAAATATTCAGATCTATCCTTCTTTTCAACTTTAATGTCCCGACCAGGTCATGGTTTTGACCTAAGAACTTACGAATAACTAATTATTCAGATCTATCCTTTTTTCAACTTTAATGTCAATAGCTTGAATCAACGAAGAAAGTTGACTGACATATAACTGAATTAAATATGAAATGTTTAGTGAGTTGTAACTTTTTAATTCTAATTACCAATTAATCTTAATTCGATATTATGAATTTTACTAGTAAGGATCGTCAAATTTCCCACATTATAGTTTGGAAAAGATTTGCGATATTTGTTTTTTATATACAGATGATTTACAAAAAAATTCACTAATTTTAGGTTGATGTTTTCTTTTGCCTTCCAGAAAATTTGTCAGTACATTCTATCTTCCATTCAGAGAGTTATTCTACAAATCTTCCATTTGTAAGTTCAGACAAGAAATCGAACATACTGAACGAAGTAACAATATCTCTGTTGGTTTCCTCCGCAGCAGTGGTTTTCTTCAGCGTTTTGTGTGCTTTTATTCTAATAAGGTAGTTTTTAAACATTTTTATCTCAAGTAAGCATGTAGATTTTTTGTTTAATCTTTAAAGACCGATTTTAATCATATTTAATAATTAAAGATATTTTTCTCCAGATTGAGTAAAAGGATTTACAAACGTGAATATAGTAATTAGACTCTATGTATTAAGTAACATTAAATCCCTCTTACTGTGTGTAACGAGTAAGATAAAACACATCTGTTCGGTACAAATACTTTATCTAAACTAAACACAGTTATTAACATGGTAACAATATACAATACAAAGCAGTCAATGATGTAATCACTATTATGACGTCATCACGATTGTGACGTCATAATCCGGGAATGTACACTGCACATTACATGGTGTAAGTTAATTGTTAAAGAATTTATAACACTGTGTTATTTCTAAATTAAGTATTACATGAATCTTCTTCATAGTAAGATCCTTTATATGAATTTCTTTGTTGACTTTTGTTTTTCAGGAAAACTTTTAAACAACTTACATTTGACTGGCATGAGGAGTGAGGATGAAAATATATATAGTGAGTACAATTATACAGATTCCAGTATGTTAAACACGAGAATTTGTACTTCTACCGATGGAGATGTATCATATGACCACTCTGTTAAAGAAAACTATAACATTCTTTCACTCAGAAGTAGGACATCGAGAGTGAATCAGTATGACGTAGAGAGTATTTCTACGTCGCCATCATTACATTCAATTACTTCTCAGCAACTTTTGGATGTAAATGAGGCGGACTTTGTGTTGGAACCAGAATGTTTGATAAATTTATTCCAGGAGAATCATGTTCAACAAGCGGATACCAGCCGTGAGGAGGAAAAAAATACATTGATACTTCACTTGAGTTGGACAAATTCCAGACAAACAGCTGGTGATTTGAAAGGCAAAATAAACGCTGCATAAAATCAGTCGGTGGTGGAAAAATATGTAGACAAGCAGGAAGTCAGATACGAGATTCATATTTTGATAGCATCTAAAATGCTAATTAAAACTAAATGTAAGCTTACAATTAAAAAAAATATGCATAAAATTAAAAGGCCAAAAGTGCATTGCAGTTTTTTAAGTGTTCTTAATGTAAGACTTCCCTGCGATTTTTATGAAAATTTATTGAAATGATATATTCTTAAAAATATACATGTATGTTGATTATTATTCTTAAATGAAGACAACTAAATAGATTAATTATCTCAGTTCATTGCATAATCACCTCCACAAAGCGTGCAATCTTCTGATCTGATAAAGTGATGTTAGCTTACATTTTGACTAAAATGTACCACATCATTGTTTTATACCAAGATGTTTACAGTACTTCACTTAGTCAGATCTTGTGGAAGCAATAACGTAATCAAGCATTTTGCATCTCTTTCAAATTATCTGCTACAGTTTGCAAGACATTCTGTCTAGAATGCCTCACTTTAATTTCCACGATGATATATTTCATGTCAGCAAAACAGTAGGAATGGGGTTAAGAAGGATGAACCTCTCGATTATCCTTAAGCTTATTAGATTTACGCATCTTTCTGTCTTCATATTTTAACTATAACTAGTGTACAATTAATTCACAGTTAAGGCATAACGAATTCAAATGAAGAGTTATGTATGTTAGCCCACTTGTGAACACGATTGCTGAAATACATGGAGATATCGAACAGAATTCAAGCTAAAAAAGTCCATTTAACTATATAAAAAAAAAGAATCAGAACAAACATGAACCTCCCGAACATCAGAGGTGGTACCAGGTGCCATGGAAGAGTGAGCATCCCCTGCCGACCGGTCATAGCCGCCATGTGCTTTTTGTCATGTTCGGGAAAAACGGAAAATCTGTGGAAATCTCTGTGTATAAAAAATGGCCTAAAATTAGTCTGAAAAACGTCAGTCAGCATTCGACTCAATGATAAATTGTATTTGCTGACAAGGCCATTATATCGACCGATATGAAATGAAGACTTTAAACGAGACTGCTGATATTCTTGTTTCATCATCTTGTTTGTCAATAATTTACATAGTTTAATCAGTAAATCAACTGAGAGATAAAAACCCCGTATGCAGGTGATGAAGGTATATTGCTGCATAAGAAAGGTAAGTTGACGATTTTAAGCTAAAGTAATCACGTTGATCATAAAGGTTGGTAATAAGATTACCATTAACGTCTTTTTCAAGTAAATTACTCAATACAAAATAGATGTGTCAGACTCTGTGGTATCTTTAATGTCAATCTCACCGTCGATATATCGTATCGATAAAAGAATGGAAAAACCATTGTAAATTGACAATACATCGTCGATATATCCAGATAATTGAAGGCCACAGGAAGTGCTTTATTCTTTTCACTTATCAGATTTTGTACAAAATCTGCTTCATAAGAATATAAAAAAGGTCTGCTAATGTCGGGAATTCCAATTAATTGTTAGAAGACCTGGTCTCCGAAAACCACATAAATATTATCAATAAGATGCTCAAGCATCTTTTTAATGTCAACTTTAGAGTACTTGTGAGTACAACACAATGTTTTCTTAACAAAATGTATCACATGTTAAAAAATTTTTGTTAAACGTCTTGATATTGAGCACTGTTGAGCGGGACATTTCTTCACATCAGACAATTTTCTTTTAGTAAAACTAATATCGCCAGACATTTTTAGTACTTGTAATATCTATAACTCGAAAAGTAATCTTCAAGGTCAAGTTGAAGCATTGGTCTGAAGATACTTTCATTTATTCAGTGTACACAAGCTTTACTATTGAAGGAATGTAGCTTATTTTAACCTATGTTATACGTTTCGCGGCTTATAAAGCGTTAACTTCCTATGTTAGTCATGTTATATCGTATAACATAGTTTAAAATAACCTTAATTCCTTATTATTTAATTTTAGTACGGATGATAAGACAATGTTTTCTCAAAAATGGCTTCAAATTAAACATATTTTAAAAGTGACGTCAAGCGGATTAACACGTATTAGACGAAACTCATTGTGATGTAGGCAACTTATGTCATACAATATAAATTAAATCTTTTATCCAATCAAATGTCTTGTTATAACTAAAATTACATAAAACACTCTCAATATGAAATTTATTTTTTAAAGGTACTTGGACACAGATTTGAAGTTAATATTTTCTGTATAATATCTCGAATTATATATTTTAATAGCATTTCACACAAAAATTAATTAAAAATCTTATTTCATTTAAAAGTTATTAAAACTTCAGTTTTTTTGGCGGGTTTGATTGACACAACCTTGCACTTTCATAAATGTTAGATAGCAAAACTCCTTCACAAATATCGTCATTCCGAGCTAAGTGTTGTGTACAGAGTTTAGCAAATCGATCACACTCGTGTTATGTACACAGTTTTTGTAAACAGGGCACGAGCTCTGTTATTGTTGATGTTTACAATTCACCGGGTGCGTTCAATCGTCAAAGTCTGCTCTCCACAATTGCACGGACTAACAATATATTGTGTGTTTGTTTTGCTTTCGAACATGTCTACTCTGAATTTTCTGGATTATAGTATTAATATTTTTCATTTATACACAGTAAGATTGCCACTTTTCCTATGTATTAAGAATAAAATTAAAATTTGTGAAAGTGCTAGGATGTGTCAATCAAACCCGCGAAAAAAATATAAAAAATTAATAACTTTTAAATGAAATAAGATTTTTAATTAATGTTTGTGCGCAATGCTATTAAAATAGATAAGTCGGCGTATTATAGAGAAAATATTAACTTCAAATCTGTGTCCAAGTACCTTTAAAACGTAATATATATATAAAATTATATATAACAATAATTATTCATTTCACCGTCGTGGATTGTAATTTATTTAAAATACCACATGATATACAATAAATATTTCCGGGCAACACTTAATAACTAATACATTTTTCATTGATTATAGTTTCATTTATTAAGGCGGAAATGTTAATCTGACTAGTTCAAAATTCAATTCATTTTTGTATTCATGGTGATTGCGCTGATCCGGAAAAGCTCTTAAAGCTGTATAAATAGTTATATTTTCTCGAAGTTTTTACCGGAGATGGTCCCTTATGTCTTAACGACAGTCCTTGTTAAACTGTTACAGTCTGTAGATGGAGGGTGTCATGTAAACAATTGGTAAGGTTCAATCATTGTATCCTTTGTAAACACTACTTCAGAAAGACTAAAGGTTTTTGTAAGAAGAAATTATATTATTTTTTGAAAAAAAGAATATCTATATCATATGATTTTCTTGTCAGTTCTATTCTAAAATGTTTCATGTTAAAATAATTCCTATTGATATAATATTCGATAAATAGTTCTCTTTAATGAATACAGGCCAGATTCATGTGAAGCCAACTTCAGGAAAGGACCTGAAAAATGCGAGCGTGAGTTGTCAGGTTTTTTTTTTGCTTTTGTATCAAAATCACAGTGCATATTGCATAAAATTTACGAATAGTACTAGTGTCAGTATGATTCGAATTCTATTGGAGAATATGAAATGAATGGAGATAATGAACAGTGTTCAAGCCAAAAGGTCCATTAAACAATACAAAATTAGCGCAGCACAAACACAGACCTCTTAAACATCCTAAGTGGGATCAGGTGCCCTGGAGGAGTGAATATTCCTTCCAACCGGTCACACCCGTCCTGTGCTTCTTGTCATAATCGGGAAATAACGAAAAAATCCGTCGTCCATTCAGTGTTTTTATAATGGAAATGCAATTAGTGAAAAAAATGTCGTCATTCAGCATTTGACTAAGTGATAAATTGTATTTGCTGACAAGGTCATTGTATCGACCATAGAACTGATAACGAAATGATGGCTTAAACGAGACTAGTGATATTATTATTTCAATAATGTTTTAATAAGATTTAAATTGTTATCTCTAGAATTTACACTTTGTATATCTCTTCAAAGTCTCCATGACCTTTTCAGCATGTGAGCCTGGTCGATATGGTTGTAACTGTTCTCAAACCTGTACCCCCGGTACCTTTGGTTTGAACTGCTACTTTACATGTAACTGTTCTGATGATGAAGTCTGTGATCCCAAAGTAGGATGTACCTCCATCAACGAAACCTCAGTATTTACAACAGCCAGGCCTAACAACACAGGTTACTTATTTCTTCCTACTTTGGATATGCATTCGTTGTAACTCAGTTCAATGTATAAGCCGAATTTTTATGTCAAGTATATGTATGTCAAGTATAGCGTTTAAGATTTTTATTTCAACTAAAGAACTGGTTTTCGTTGCTTTGCCATATCCTATGTTGAGAGTGAGGAAATGACCTTTGCTTACAGTTATATATATATTTTCGATTTCTATCGTTTAAAAGTTTTAATGAATTTGTGTGAAAATAAAACTCAAACCGGCATCAGTTGCCCGCGTGGTGCAGTGGCTAGAGCATCCGCTCTAGAATCGCGAAGTAAGGAGTTTATTCTTACGTCGTGGGTTTGAATCCCACTGTGGGACGTGGAGACCCTTCCTTCGTATAAGACAGTATACTGTAATCCAACTCTTATTCGCGTGCGAGAAAATTTCGCTATGTTCGCGAGAGCCTTTTCATCGCGAATATTTCTCGCCGCGAGCTGGTCGTAAAAGTCTCTGTGTCTATTATCAAAAGATAAAAAAATGTATTGTTCGCGAAAAGTTATCGTCGTAAATTACTTTACAACCTGTAAATCGCGAAATACAGTAGTTGCGAATAAAAGTTGATTTACAGTATACAGAGATCCGTTTCGCAGTAGGTGCTGGCAAAAAAATCCCTCACTGCTCAAAGGCCGTAAGTGCCAAGTATATAGGGCAAAATATGCAGCTCTCCACCGGGAAGTGGCAGCAAATCCATAGGAGTGAAAAATTCTCGACTGGGACGTTAAACAATAAACAATCAATCAATCAATCTGTTATCATTTCTTTTTTCTGATTGATTAGATACACCTGAAGCATCGTCAAAGTTCCATCTATTCTCTCCAAATTTGACGCCAAACTTCGAGACACCAGAGGACCCTCTATCATTTCTAAGCACGGTCATCATCATTCTAGTTGCGTCACTTGTGCTGGTGGTTGCCATAAGTATTTCCTGCATCTGCTTTATAATAAAGTAATCATTTATTCAAAAGAATAATTTAATTAATAGCACTGTGGACATATGTATTGAATGATTTTTTTCTTATATTTAGTTCGTTCCTTTTGAGGCCTTTCCTGACATTTTTAGTATGCTACTTTAATGATTCGTAAACCTTATAAACCAGCTTAAACTAATTAAGTGTTGAATGTGATTTTTTAAATTAGTTTTTTTTTTCATATATCAAAATTCTGATAGATAGAAAGTATAAGTTAATTGTATTATAATGCAATGAAAAAGCAGACTTTTCCGTGAAGATAATGGTTTTTATAGAAGTTTTTTTTCAAATATATTTCTTTGTCTTCAGACGGACATCAAAAACCGCCTTTAAAGAAATAATCGGTGAGTTTCCAATTTTCTCAAAACTTTTATGTCTTATTGAATACATTTGAGGAAAAATATAATGGTAAGGCCAAAAAAATTAATTTCTTGGTTCTTAAGCCCTCCCTCATCTCTTCCAAGGGCGCCTCATTGACCCTTTTTTATTGCTAAATCAATAAAATAAAAACAACAAATCACCTCCCTCATCATTTTTTGAGGTTTTGTACAATGTAAAAAGCTGCCTCATCATGTTTTGGGGGCAATAAAAAAGTAAAACAAAAATGCCTCAATCCCTCATCATATTTCTTGAAAAAAGGCCTGAGAACCAAGGAATTAATTTTGCATGGCCTAAGAAAGATAAAAACCATAAAAATCGATTTATATGGATAATATGGATAAAATGGGAAATTTTATATGGATAATTTTTAAAAATCATCCAGGCACAAAAAGCGGTGAACATTCATCAGGACCTGCGGATGAAAATCCAGATTCTCATTCTTATTTAACAATCAGTGATCGATCCTCTCGGTTGTATGCTGATGTACATTATGACGAAGCCATGGACAGAAAAAGTTCTCCTTCAGGATCCTTAAATTACAAGGGAAGCAACTCAAGTACCATCACGGACAGTAGTAAAAGATCCGATGATTATTTAACACCAACTGGAAAAGTTGTTGATGAAAAATTATCTAGTAGTCAATTATCTGGAGAGGATAATGTAGAACACGCATTAGTGGAAACCTGTATTTAAATAAATGAACTTTGCAACTTAAAATGATTATAGAATGCATATTAATAAAATAACAATGCAGGTAATTCCATCACTGGAACGTTAGAGGCATCTAGCCGTATCTTAAATCTTGTTTTATAATTTGTATTAGTTTTAACTTTTTCAAAAAATCTGTAATTTGATACCCAAATCAAAAGATTTTTTTGGAAAAGATGTGAACAATATCAAACTTGCAATTTAGTGTATTTTCATTGCGGAAAACCTATTGAAAAGGTAAGCTTTAAGATCTTGAAGCCCGGGTTAGATTCTCGATCGCAGCACCGTTTCATACAAAAGACTATACCTTCGCCAAGCATATGAAGTGAAAGTCATGGGAAAGTCGCTTTCACTTTAAAGCTGAACATGACTCGTAAATAGACATGCTCCATTTTTGATATTACTAACTATACACCATTTTCGATATTACTAACAATGATATCAGCACCGGGATATACCCTTTGCATTCATTTTACCTGGTTGCTTTATTTTTTAAGGTTATCAGCGTTGAATGACGATTTGTGTATCTTACATTACATTGTACATTTGTTTACAATTTTTGTTGTTACGTGTATTTGTTTATTTTTTTTGTATACTACAAAGTTGTCGTAAGTTTCTTTGGTATCTTACGCTGCTGCATTTGACGAGGTAAACGTTTTTGTCGTCATTGAGTGCTGTGTAGCTGCGGCCGTCTACACAGATGACGACTGATAACACTGGAGATGTCTAAGTGAACGATATAATATAGCGACCCTCAGATAGACATAGCGAGTGAACATTCAAATATGGCGGACAAATATCCTTTCACGAATGTTCAGCTTTAACATCTATTTCAGAGTACTTGCATATTAAATCAGAGTGATTTTAATGAGTTACCGGTACTGCTTGATGGCCCTGAGCGCAAGTATAGATATAAATTTGATCTCTCATCGTATACTGTGAAGTCTCTGTATATGTAATAGCGAGCGCAGCGAGCGTCGCGAGCGACGCTCGTCACTGCGAGCTCGTTAAAAGAACGCCTGTGCGAAGAGAAAATTCGGACTACTGCACATTCATTCGATATAATTTTTTGACGCAGTAAATTGGACCCACAATGCATCACTTGTTAAAGCTACGTTCTCGCGAGAATAGCAGCAAAAGTTAAACTAAAAGTAAACATGTCCTGATTTAATGGATAAATATTAAAGATAAATAGTAAACGAAACGTTCTTCATTTACTTTCAGCACTGTTCGGGCTTCTTTTTGGAAATGTTACTTACATACGACGTCATGTGAGTCTAGACGCACCAAATGCCACGCTTAGTTTCACGAGCCCGATCTTACGAAAGCCCAGAAGGCTCATTCGAGATTCAAGTTTCGAAATACGAAATTCGAAATTCGAGTTTCGAGATTCAAGATCCAGATTAACCAATCAAAAGGCTCATTCGAGAGTCGAGGTTCGAAATACGAGATTCGAAATTCGAGTTTCGAGATTCAAACTCCAAATTAACCAATCAAATGCGGGTTCAACATTTGATTACTCCCCTTTATTATGTTTAATCTATCAATAAATCGTTTAATATATTTATAACAAAAGAGTCATTTGAATAAATTACAATGCAAGAAAGAGTGTTATATATATTAGAAGGAAAGTTAAATAATCATTTGATTTTTGATCAGCAAGATATACTTAAATTTATATTATGACTTCTTAAATATTAAATAGAATACATATATCAGGAATATATATATTTTTGCATTGTCTATTGTATATAAAGGGTTGCTGACATAATTATACAGTTATAAATAGTGTCTAAAGATGACCAAAATCCCCACCCCTACCCGCAACACCTGCCAAATTTTCCCGACACTGAAAATGTTACTTTAAAAATTTGAAAGGCAATGTAGCCTTGATAAATAAAAACCGCGCTCGTTTTCTTAATAGAGGGAATACATAAAAATAAAGTTTTCAATTACTAAGGCTTTGATTTCTTGAACTAATAAACAATTATAAATACAATACAGATTGCAAATATGAATTAGAATAAATTCATTTCATCTGATATTAAACAGTAGATTAGTCTAAATGAGCTGCAGAACTATAGCGTTATGCTTTTATATTTTAGTCTCTGACCATAGCGTTATGGTCAAAGACTAAAATATACTCGGTTCTTATTTATCAAAGCTACAAGGATTTTGTCACTATTTTGTCACTATTTCTAACTTTATTATTATGTCAACAACCCTTTGTATAAAGTAGACAATGCAAAAATATATATATATTCCTGATATATGTATTCTATTTAATATTTAAGAAGTCATAATATAAATTGAAGTATATCTTGCTGATCAAAAATCAAATGATTATTTAACTTTCCTTCTAATATATATAACACTTTTTCTTGCATTGTAATTTATTCAAATGACTCATCTGTTATAAATATATTAAACGATTTTTTGATAGATTAAACATAATAAAGGGGAGTAATCAAATGTTGAACCCGCATTTGATTGGTAAATCTGGATTTCGAACCTCGACTCTCGAATTTCGAATCTCATATTTCGAACCTCGAATCTCGAATGAGCCTTTTGATTGGTTAATCTGGATCTTGAATCTCGAAACTCGAATTTCGAATCTCGAATTTTGAATCTCGTATTTCGAAACTTGAATCTCGAATGAGCCTTCTGGGCTTTCGTACGATCTAAATTATAACAAAATAAATATCTGCGCTCGACATAACGGTTGCACCGTCAACATATTATAAAATTTCCGAACTGAACGTTTAACAACTTACACTCAGTCAATGGTCATTGATTCCTTCCTTTTTATAAATATTTAGTATATCAACATGATTAATAAATATTAATTTGAAGAGATGGTCATATTGCACTTTAAATGTTTCGTGAAGACTTATCTGCCCTTGATAAAAAGAAGAAAAATTTCCATTGCTCAAAATTCCCCTGGTAAATAATTTATTTCATAATGTATTTATAAAAAGGGAGTTATACATATTTTCACCTAAAGATTTGCTTGAAATTAAATTACTTTTTGCAATATCTTATAAAGACATGCAATGCCCATATAGACCTAAATGTAAAATTTCAGGTTCAAATACCAGTAAATTTTATATATGAAAATTTTGTAAATTTCTTTGGTGGAACATTTTTATTTGATACTATCTTCAAAATGCTACTTTGATTAAAAATATCGGTCCATTCATTTTTAGGGTCAAAATACATGTATGGTCGTTATGCATTGAATACCCTAAAAAGAAATTGTTAATATATTCGATGAATCGTAGGATTCTTTTTCAAAGTGGAACCAACAGGGAAAAATATATAATGGCAATTTTTACCAGAAAGGTATAAAAAGAAAGAGAACGGACTCGAAACTTTGTTTGCGATTAGAGTAGATTTACTTATCAGTTTTTTTCGAAAGAAAATGGTACTGTCTATTACTGAAATTTAACGAGACCAAAATCTGATTCGATTCCGCATGACTTTGCGCAGCTTTTTGGCTTTATGCAGCCGTAAATACAACATAACAGTGATAACTCAAAAAAAACAAAAACAAAACGCTGAAATGGCTTTCACAACGTCACTGTACTTTGTTCTGTACGTAAGCAATGCATGACGAGGAAGAATGACAAATAACTCGCTTGACTATTCAAGACGTCCATGGACATATTATTTTAAAAATGTTGACAGAACATCAATAGAAACATACCAGCAATTTAATCATGGTTATTCTTTTTACCAAAATGATGCAAAAAATATATACCCAGTTTACTGCAATACGGCAAATTTAGTGGCATATGCATCAGGGGCAAAAACTTTGTAATAACACCTAGACCAAACCAGATGGACAACATTTTTGAAATTTCACAATTTGGTGACGTTTTGCAATAACTTTCGTGCCTTTGAATGAAAAGGAAATACCTAGGGCAGAGTAACAAGAAATGTGTGAAAATTTGAAAATTTGGCGCTTTTCCAACAAATCCCGATAGGGCCTAATGGTAAAATTTAAGAACTTTTGAGATGCACCACTTAGAAATAGGGATGGTAAATATTCAATTTTTTAAATCTTAAATTAAATAGAATAATAGTAAAATTCTTTCAAGAAAAAAAATTCTAGGGTAGAAATAATTAGACTCGACCTCGCTAAGTCCAGAATTTTGTTTTGCATACATTTTTTTCAAAGCTCGTTTAGGGTCTCCATGGTAAAAAAAAATCCCGAAGTACTCTCTTAACCTACTTTGAAAAAGTATAATTACAGTGCGTTGATTTTGTCCCAAATATAACGTACTTTCAAAAAATTGTTCAAAGTGGTTATTTTTTCAGAGTGTGTTGCCACAGACGGACTGCATTTGAGAGAGATCGACATGGGATGCTAACTTCTCCATGGTACTTGCTACCATTTTAATTTGTTAATTTGTGATAGATTACCGCCTTTGTTGTCGCTCTCAAAGTTCCCTTAATATTATTTGATATTGTCAATTATATTTAATATTTATTTTGGCTTGTTTTATAAAGGCGGAAATATTTATTTATCTACAGGTAGTTGAAAAATAAAAGCCTAGTTAAAAGTTCACTTATACGTTTTCATTATTGTATGTATAAAATTTAAATCAAGATATCCTGAAAAGGCTATTGAGCTGTATAAATAGTAATATTTTCTCTTTACCCCAAATGGTCCCATATATCTTCACCTTTGTCCTTGTCAAACAGTTTCAGTCTGTAGATGAGGGTTGTAGTTCAAACAACTGGTAAGTTAAAATAATTGTATCTTTGGATTATAATACTTCCAAAAGATTTCATTAAGATAGATTTTGAAGAGGAAATTCTTTTAATTTTTAAAGATATAGTAATATCAATTTCATATTGGTAAAAGAATGTTTGCAAATTATATTTTGAAATGATTAACTGTTTTCTATTCATGATGTTTTAGTTTTAAATGTTAATACAGGCCATTTTCATGTTATGTCAACTTCATGGTTGGGCCTACGGGATGTGAACGTTAGTTTTCATTTTCTTGTAAAATTACAGTTTATAATTTTTACGATAATATGTCAAATTCGATTTCTTATGAGCAGCATACATTGAACTGAAATTTACACTGTGTATATCTCTTCAAAGTATCCATTACCATTTCAGCGTGCGGTTTAGGTAGATATGGTTGCAACTGTTCTCAAATCTGTCCAGCTGGTACCTTTGGTCCCGTCTGCTACTTTACGTGT